CTTCACACTTCCTATTGATATTTTTCAATTGGTAATGCCACATTCCTGTCAAGCCATTTTTTTTCACTGTTGAGTGTCCACTTGACAACAGGAATCAAAGCCGCAATTAACCCTGAGTGAATGTGCCACACATGTACTAACTCCATTGATGTTTTTATTTCTCCAGGATGTGATTGAGAGATCCCATATGAGCAGTGAAAATTTTACGTTATTTCTTCATCAGAATTATTTAGATTTTTATAGTAGTATAGATGATGTTGTGGATGCTAGTCTTTATTTAAGTGATGCTGATCATCTCACCAAAGATTGGGCTGTAAGTAACTCTTACACACTGCTCCTAGCACACACTAGCAGAACTACATGTTAGAAGTCAAAGACGTTAGCTCAAACTAAAAAAAGACATGTACAAACACTTAGTACAGGTTAGAAAGCAACTAGTCGAAGCTACACCTGAACCAGTTTGTAGGACCTGGTACAGATCTTGGGCTAATGAAGTTTATAGAAACGGTTTGCTTAAATGCCCACTGGGATAAAACAAAATATCATTGTATTTATTTTTTGACATAGAAAAGTATCACAAAATACGCCAATAACTCAGAAAGTTGGCAGTTTTACACATTATTTCTTGAATTATTACCATGAATATGTTAATTCAAATATTTCTGTTAGTTTTAGATGTCAGCTAAAACACATTTCATGGATCATGAAAGTACATATCGAGAACCATAACTGAAGTGAGGGCTCCAAAATTAACTAAATAAATTTCTACATTTCTTAATCAGTGTTCATGAATGGCAATCTTTTATGCGGGCCAGAACGCTCTACATTTTTAGTCCCCGTTCGGACGTACTCCGAAAACGGGGGACTTATGGTTTGCCCTGTGTGCGTCTGTGCGTCCGTGATCACCTGTATCACGAACATGCATGGACCGATTAAGTTCAAACTTCACTCATACATCACACATTATATGGGACATATGCACATGCATTTTTTTTCATGATCCGATTAACGATAGCCGAATAGCGGCCATTTTAAGGCCGAAAATGCATCAAAATCGTACATTTTCACCATTCCGGACCCGGATCTCAGTTATGCATGGACGGATTTTGTTCAAATTTGGTACATACATTAAACATAATAGGACCTTGATGCATGTCTTCTTTTTTTTCGGATAAAGTTCGAAATGGCCGACTGGCGGCCATTTTGTTTTAAAGAATTCAGTTCTGGATCCGTATCTGAGACATGCCTGGATTGATCAAGTTCAAACTTCACACACACATGGTACATCATGTCACAAATAGATATGTACATTTGTTTCATGATCCGCTTAACAATAGCTGAATGATGGCCGAAAATGCATCAAAATCACATATTTTCACAATTCTGGAACTGGATCTCAGTCATGCATGGATGGATTTTGTTCATATTTAGTACAATGTGTTGTACATATGCAGGTGCATTTCGGATCAGACCACTGAAAGTGGTCTAAGATTTCGGTCATGATCTGCTTTGAATGTATATGTCACTCAAATATGAACGGAACGGGGACGTGTCATTGACAATGACTTGTTTATGATGACTTGAATACATGCTCACAAATTATTGTCACTGTGTTTTAGTCTTTAGAAGCTGCGAAACAGACACAGAATAAACTAAAGTAATTTCATGCGTTCCCTAACAAAGGCTCAGAACCAGAAAAAACTTAAATTATTAATATTTAGGGTCATTAGTTTGATATCCTCTATATCCATAATTATTCATTTTGGTATGACATTTCAAACGTGTCAGTGTACCTAGAGAAATTGTTCTAAAAAAAATTGGACTGCCGATGAGACTCTGTACTATGTTGTGTTATTCTACATTTTCACTATTTGCGTTTACATTGTTATTGTTTTTTAATCATGGAGTAAAAGTTTGGTCGTTCTTTTGTCGTACTGAAAATACATAAAACTCTAGCTCAGCAATTCTGAGCTACACTAGTCTAGCCGCAACACCAGGGTCATGGTATGTTTACACACATTTGTGAACAGTGGGTTAAAATTAACTCTAGGTTGAATTCTTCATTTTGCTATCTCTTCAGAGAAAAAACCTAGTAAGTAAATAAATAAATTAAACAAACAAACAAACGAATAAACAAATAAATAAAACAAGTTATTGGTTTAAAGCAGGCTTCTATTGAACCAAGGTGACATGTTCCTGCATGTGTCACCATTCATTTATTTGGAACCATTTGCAGCTAAAAGCCTATGTTTTATTGCAGAGTCGGTCTGCATTAAGAGAATACAGTTCATGTGTTGGTGCTAGAGGATTAGTACATTGTAACACTGCCAGGAGTAGGAGTGGTAGTACTAGTGGAGGGGGTGGATGGAAGCCATTACACAAACCACAGTGGTATGAAGTCAATAGAAAAGTAAGTACATGTTTGTATTTATACAATATTGGAATTCACTCGTTGCAATTAATAATACGTGTACAAATAATATCGTAGAAAACATTGCACCAAAAATTTGATGAGGAAATTGATGGTGTTTAAAGGCCGTTTCAGAAAAGGCTACTATAAATTTACTTGTTTTTGATGTTTTTTTAAATAGAATACCAAATTTATTTAATATGTGAATTACAGAAATTTTTTAACAAATCAGGATACAGCAATGCAATTTTTGGTTTTATGTGTTTCTAATACAGTAAATAAGGTCTTTGTTTTTCATATTTTTGAATATATCAATAATTACCAAGTTGTATGATTTATCAATGAAATGTTATTTTTAATCAGATGGTGCTGTATGTCCCAACGTTATAGTTGCAATCTCACTTTGCAATTCTGTGAGGTGCCACCCCCCCCCTAACAAATATATCCACCATCAAATGAGTTAGTATGCAATCTAAGATCATTCATATATGATAGTTTTATTGGGTGCTTGGTACTATACATATCATGAGAAATACCTGATGTGAGTTGCATTGTGTCCACATGTTGTTCTGGCTTTCGACTTGACTCTTTGTAAAATATTTGCTAACGCATTTGAATAGTATTCCAAAACATGCTGATTCACAGAGATTTTATACAAGGGCAAATTCACTACATTCAATTACCCACCATAGACTCCGGTCAGTCAAAATGACTATTTTGAACTGTAGGCATTAATCAGCGATTCTGCCGGTGACGGAGAGATAGAATCTAGGTCAGGGGAAGCCCCATGACCTCAAGATTCTTTTACCCCTTACGTCACGAACCCACGTGACCGAGGCCACATGGCAGCCCCATAGGTAGCCATCAATCTCTCTGATTTTTTCTCCGCCTCGAGTGGAGATGAAATCTAGCGAGCTCTGCTGGATCGCCTGCTTTTTTTTTTCCTGTCCAGATTCATAGCTTGGGTTGTTGCCGCTGCACGGCATCTGACATGGTAGCTGGTAGGATAAGTTTTCCTTGTCATTTTTACCCTTGTGTTGTTTTCCCCTTTATGTGTAGTATTTTTCACAACAAAGAAATTAAAACCCGGCGCCTCTACGTAACCACTGGTTGGTTGCATGGCGGCACCTTTTACAACTGTATTTCGTTCTTTTCCCTCATGCATGTCGTCTTTTATTGACAGTGTACATGTATTTAGCAATGTATAGATGTAATGACAGCACCAGGGCTCGCTGCCATTTTCCTTTTGGTCTCCTCGTGTTTCGAGTCGACTGTGCAGTGTTTGTATTCAAAATTTACCAGCATAGAACCTGTATCTGAGATACTTTGTCGTAGCTGCGTGCGGGGTTCGGGGTTTCTGCGTGAGGTTCTGAGGCCTGAGATTATCTTTCAGAGCCATCAAAATCGCTGAGACTGACCGTGTCACAGCAAACAAATCGGTTAAAGTTAGTTGCGTGTTTTTGCATGAGTGGAAAGTCGTCGCGCTCACCCCCCCGTTCGGGTTAGGCACAGCGCCCTACGTGTTAACCCGAGTGATAAAACAGGTAGTGCTGCTGCTTCACCGGATGTCGGTACACCTCAATCCGTACCCAGACTACTGGTTACTAACAACCCGGGCAAGGGGTTAATAGCCAAACACGTCAAGCTAATACAGGATTTAGTTCACCAGTTGGACTCGTTAGTAAATCGACAAGTTCCACTTCGACCCAACGCGCAGTTGGTGTCCCTGGGCATGGAGTTTTGACACAGAGGTAAGCTTAGCTTATCAAGCGTGTTGCTTAGCGCTAAGCAGCCTAGCCGAATGCCTAGTCAGCGTTCCCTCAGTGTCCCTCCGAGAACTAATACAGATCATCGGAATGATGACCTCAGTTCAAGGGGTCGTTCCCCAGGCCGCACTAAACAGCCGCCCCAGGTAGGCGTCACCCAGAGCTGAGGGCATTGTCCTTCTCGGATGATGTACCGTCTTTATGGACAGTCAAGTTGTGCTAAAGACACGAATCGGGTTTCTAGCCTAGAACCAAATCTTAGGACATGGGCCATAACACAAAGATATGTGCCTGGCACCCCGTTCCAAATCCTTAGCTCCCAGGTTCTGCTTTACGGCCTATGCCCTCATGCAGAACTGTTTCGGTCTTTACTTCGAAAACTTACTGGGGTCTAGCTTCCTCGGGCACACCGAACCCTGTCACCGTAGCAGCATTTTGGCTTCTTGCTCCAGGGACAGCACAGGCAAGGTAAGACACCACCCTTTTTTGGGTCTTAACTAGGGTGTTGAGTTTGTTTTTATCCCGGACTGGGAAAAGATTTTCATCAGTCTATGGTGGGTAATTGAACGTAGTGAATTTAGGCGAGGGTTCTCCGAATCCGCCTATTCACATAGTTCATACCCACCATAGACTCTGGGTCCCCCCAACCTCCCCATGCTTTCCGTCGCGTTGGTCTAAGTCCTTGAGGCGGAGAGAAAGGAACCAGAGTGATTGACGGCTACCTATGGCGCTGCCATGTGGCCATGGTCACATGGGTTCGTGACGTAAGAGGTAAACGAATCTTGAGGTCATGGGGCTTCCCCTGACCTAGATTCTATCTCTCCGTCACCGGCAGAATCGCTGATTAATGGCCTACAGTTCAAAATAGTCATTTTGATTGGCCGGAGTCTATGGTGGGTATGAACTATGTGAATAGGCGGGTTCTGAGAACCCTCGCCTAAATTCCAGGCATGCAAGTTAATGTTTCTCATAATAGTACTAAGATCAAAACGTATTTGAATAATCTACACACACACACAATTATTTTGGAACAGAAACAAATATGTTATATTAATGCTGTTTTTGTTTTATTATAGTACCGTGAACGCTGTCTGACAGCGAGGCATCTCTTTTCAAAACATTGCCAGACACCTGAAGATTTACAGATCCAGTTTATGCCTTATTTAGCTTTGATAAATGTCCCACTCAGTACTCCAGGTAAAACACTGTACACGTCAAGGCTATTTATGTCCATTGTCCAATTTATGTGAATCGATAGATTCTTGGTAAAGCGCATACTGTAATATTTTCTCTATTGGCACATTCTCTTCTGTATACAACATGTGTTTATGGTCAAAATAAGTCTTATTTAATTGATCCAGTATCCACCCAATGCAATTTTCATGTCATGTACACCAATATTTGATATGTGCTTCTAATAGAACAAATATAGTACAATTATTCCAAAGTACATAGTGGAATTTATAATTTTTAATTCAGTGGAAAACAAAATACAAATCCACAGTGCACACAGCACTGACAACTGAAAAAAACTTGTGATAGGTCATGAGAGATGGCCTTTGAAGGCCCATCAAAACAAAATGATATGGGTGTTTACCACTGTGACAGTAAGACACACTGAAACTTATT